AGAAGAACACACACACAAACACAAACACACACACACACAAACACAAACACAAACACAAACACAAACACAAACACAAACACACACACAGACAAACAGACAGACAGACAGACAGACAGACACAGACAGACAGACAGACAGACAGACAGACAGACAGACAGACAGACAGACAGACAGACAGACAGACAGACAGACAGACAGACACACACACACACACCATACACACACACTTTTGTGGCGTCGCGGCCCTGTGCGCAGCGACAGAGCGTAGAAGGTCGGATAACAGCACACACGCAAACACGGTTCCCCTCCCTCCCACCTCCGCCCTCTTTTCAGACCACGGGGCTCCCTGCAGCGAAGACGGAGGGACGCCTGAGGGCACCGCCGTTCACTGCCCAGGGGCCCTGTTGCATCGTCGGGGGTGGCTGGCAAGGGTCACTTGCACAGTTTCGCCGCTCGCGGGGGCCTCGGAGGACCCCGAAATACCTCGGGGGGCCTCGCAAAACCTGGGGGGGCCTCGCAGAACTTCGGGGGACCTTGGCGGGTCGCTGACCCATGGCACCTCGTATACGGGGTGGCATGGCCATCCGACCAGCGAGCCCCACTCCAAAGCCAAACGATCATTATCACGACAACGTGGGCCTAAGAAAGCTGGGTCTGATGTCAACCAGAATATTGCTCCCCACTGCTACCTCATCCTCATCCTCTTGTTCCTTCTAATTCTCCTCCAACTCCTCCCCATCCTCCTTCAACTCCTTCTCCTCCTCAAACTCCTTTCCTCTTCCCACCCCCCTTATCCATCCCGCATGGCCCTCGTGTCTCAGACCCTCTTCTTCATGTTGTTTCTACGTCGCTTCCTCCTACTCATTCTCCTCCTCCTCCTCCTCCTCCTCCTCCTGATTCCCCAGATTCCCCATGGATGACGGGATCCTCGAAGCCGAGACGCGAACAACCAGCCAATAAGCGAGGGGCAGGCGGCTGGTCCTGGGCAGTGCAGCTGGCCCCCCAGCTGCACGTTCGGCCAACAAGACACTAACCCAGCCGCCTGAAATCGAAACTACGCCCGGAAAGCCCTTTGGTAGACGGGTCAACACCTTCTCGGAACAGTTTCAAGCTCCGAACTGCATCCTTACCGTGGATGGTTAATGCACTTGTCTGAGAGAAATTGAGACCTACGGTTCCCAAAAGCCCCGCACCTCGAGCACCACGCCACACGGCCCCCTCCAATGAAAAGCAGGCGGGAAGGGGTGGGCGAGGCGGGCCACCTTAGGCAGCCCAGAGCACGGAACCTTACAAACACCTGTCCGAGATCCTATCTTCGCGCATCTAACGCACTGGTATTTGAATCTGCCCCCTGGAAGCTTATAGCGGATCAGCTGGTCGCCAAGCGCATCGGGCACCCATTCGAGACCTCCAGGGCGTTGTCTTACCTCGCCCGAGCCTTCTCGACATCTGGGAAGTTGAGACGGGAGAGGGCTTGCATGGTCTCGTGGATCACGCATATGCTGTTGGAGACAAGCTCGGCCTGATGCACATACAATTGCTTAGCTCGGGGGTTGCGGGGATGCACGGCGGCCCCTAACTTAGCCAGGCGATCAGCCGCTCGATTGCCAGCCCACAACCAAAACCGAAACCCACGATCCAAGGCGGCCCTACGAGACAGATGGCTCTTGACTTTAGAGAGGGTGATGTTGCGCATCCCTACATCCGCAGCCCTAGCAAAACTGTCGCACCACAACTCGTTGTAGCTGACATTGGCGCGGTCCTGACCTGGGCCTTTCTCCCAGACGTCACAGACCATCTGCCAGTCCGTGCAGTACTCTGTGGGGCAGGCTCCCACCTGCCGCAAGGCCATGAGGAAGGCATAAACCTCCTCCCTCCTGAGGACTGAATGGGGTGGGGGAGGGGACCGACAAATGACCCTACAATCTTACCACTTATATCAACCGCGACGGCTCCCCAGCCAGACCTCGCGAACACTTCGCTGGCTGGGTCCAACGCCGAACCGCCCAAACAGATCTTGCCAGTGTCGAGGACGCCCGAGGGGGGGAAAACGCTCCACTTGAAACCAGCATCGACCAAAGGGGTGGGCCAAAGAACTTCGGGGCTAGCAAACAGGCCCCTGGTGAATCCAGGGTCTTCGTCACCAGACTCCCCCCCCTTTGGCGAGGTACCCGTCGAGGTCGAGGCTGGAGTGGAAACCAACGTTTCCATCACAACTGAAAAAAACGGTGCTTGGGAGTGCCCGAGAGCGCTCCGCACCATCGGCAGAGTGGGGACACCACTCGCCTCCCCGCGAACAGGGTTTCTTGCGTCGCGTAGCCTCATCCAGCCACGACTCCTGATATTAGGGCAGATTCCTTCCCTTCCCCTTGCCCACGCACGGACTTCAACTTGTCAACGACAAGCCCAAGGAGGGGCCCCGAAGCGAGCCCAGGCACTTTTTGGCCGATGCTGCAGATGAGCCCTCTCTGGGTACCTTGTTCGATCAGAGCTTTTATCGTCCTCTTGCCCAGGGTGCCAGGATCCACTGAGACCCCTCTCCTCGTGACCCAAGACCTGTACCCTAAGGCGCGCCAGCCGAGTCTGCGCAACGTGCACAGCACAGCTCCAGCAGGTCCCGTGACCTGGCGAGGCGAGGCGAGGCGCCGGCATACGTCCAGAAGGACGGCCCTACGAGAGCACGGCGGTTGGGCCGTAGCCCAGGATTCACTTTGGATCCCTGTGACTCATGAGTGAAAAAGTCAGCAAGACAGGCGCCAGGCAACGGCGCATCGGCAGGGAATCGACAGGAGCACGATTGGCTCACATATTCCATAAACCAAATTAGCAGGACATGCAACAGCGCTGCAGACCTACACTCTATTGAGGCCGGCCCGGCGCACGAACATACATTCGCATGATGATCTGCACGCCTGCCACGAGCAAGCGCTGGGAGAGGAAGGGAGGGAGGGCGGCGAAGACGGGGGGGGAGGAGGAAGGGAAAAATACAACATCGTGAAGCAACGCCAACTCTCCTCAGGAGGTCGGCCAAACGCCAACGATGGAAGAGGAGACAATCGATAAAGATACGACGGTATGGAAATCATCTGCTAAAACGAATGCCCAATGATGCGAAAACTTGCTCCGGCTATTGCTGACCGGCCGCGTGCTCGATATCCGGATTGGTCCACGTGTGTGTCCTCAAGAACAATACCACTTCTGTTATTCTCCACCACAACTGCTGACGCCGATGCTGTTGTAACGATATTGCCGGAAACACTTTTGAGGGTAATGCAATCGTGATCTATAATGTTTATTAGAGTGGCAAACGTGAGATGCTTTTTTTATACCAAGAACAACCAATGAACCATATTGCCCAACATGCTCCTATGGTCGCCATGCCTCCCGCGCGACGACAACTTGTGCAGCCGATTTCGAACGTGAAACCCACAACTGTTGAAGTATAGACATTCCTTCCGGCTCTTGTAGATCGTTGAATGTGGGACCGGACAATAAGATTTGACCTATACCAACACGCGAGATTTGCACCATTCCTTTCAATTTTCCGAAGGCATCCCACATGTCATATGATATCTGCTCGCATTGCGTTGGCATCACGTTTATACCGCATGGGTCAGACACCTGACCAAAGCTTGGCTCTTGAAGAATGTGTTCGCAAATGTTCTCCAATTTCAACCAGTCTACTAAGATGAATATCTGCTCCAATTTGTCGAACCGCTCTGAAACCATAGTTGTTTGCGTGTGTTCTCCCCTGGCGTATTGAAACAACTGTTCAATTGTGTCCAAGCGACTTCCCAACTGAAGTATATGTTCATTGATTTGATCAATCGTGCTACTCATTTCCTGAATTGCCATCGGTACTGTTTGGTCCTTTTTTGGCTTGTGCGGCATTCCCAACCACATGAAATGCACATCGAATAATATAAGATATTGTAATATCCCCCACGCCGTTACGCTCCACGCCGAAATCACTATGAAGACGGGCGATCACACCAACAAGTTTCGCAACGTGTCGATGTCCCGGAAAGGCGCTTACACAGACGAGGCAAGCACACTCAAGAGAATCAAGCGAACATTGCGTGGCAAATGTTGGGCAAATGAGCCAAAACCCCACTTGAGCCAAGATGCGACTTGAGCCTCTTGGCTCGAGCCAAAATGGCTACCAGTCGAACCTGGGTTGTTCAGGAACGCGTCAAAACTTTTCTTCATCTGCTGCTCTGGAGCCCATCCCTTATGCAGGGCCAAGCACCAGCTGAGAAGGGGGGGCGGAGTTGGCAGCTAAGGTCGGATCAGCACGTTTATCTCCGCACAGTTGAAACTCGATGGTCCTGGATCGTCCTTTCGGGGTCCCGAAAATGGCCTGGCCAAGGATCGAACGAAGATCTTGGAGGGGAGTGTCGGCTATCCCTACAATCGAGCAGCCGTAGGTCACCGCAGGCAGGCCGCCTGTCTTGGCCACCTTGGTGACCCCACGGAACGCAGAGCGGAGCCCGCGAAACCTCCTGATCCTCGGCCTCAAGGCGGCCACTCGGCCTCTCTGGCCCCGCCTCCTCACCCACATCCTCCTCCTCCTCCTCCTCCTCCTCCTCCTCCTCCTCCTCCTCCTTCCCTCCGCCATACGCTTGCTCTCATCATCATTGTCCAATTCACCATCTACATTGTAAGTACTCCTCCTCCTCCTCCTCCTCCTCCTCCTCCTCTTCCTGATCCTCCTCTTCCAACTCCCCCTCCTCCCCTGCCTGCTCGATCTTCTCCGTCCGCCCCTACCCAATATCATCCTCGACACTCCACTGTCTCTCATCGTTTTGCATACCACGTATCCACTTAATCCACTGCCCCCTCCCCCTCCTCCTCCTCCTCCTCCTCCTCTCTCCTCCTCCTCCTCCTCCTCCTCGCTTCCTCCGCTTCCTCCTCCTCCTCCTCCTCCTCCTCCTCCTATTCCCCCCTCGCCCCAAGCTGCCTCCATCCCATGTTACACCACGCCCTCCTCACGCACTCGCCTGGGACCCTGTCGAGCAACTCCGGAGGGCCGCCGTGCAGATACATCTCTGGCACAGTAAATCTCGACCTGGCTGGACGCAGCGGGGAGGGACACCGAGAGAAAAGGGTTACGCCTCCTGCTCCTGCTCCTGCTCCTGCTCCTGCTCCTGCTCCTGCTCCTGCTCCTGCTCCTGCTCCTCCTCCTCCTCCTCCTCCTCCTCCTCCTCCTCCTCCTCGTTATGCGGAATGAGGCTCCAGGGCTGCAGGGGGAATCATCAGCTACGCAATTAAGATCAGAGCCACGTTGATTCAGCCGAGGCGAAAGGCACGCACTGACAGAAGAAAAGGGCCATGCCATCACCTCGGTGCTGGGATCCGCTCGAGTGGGGGGGGCGCAGGTTTGCGCGGCAGGCTGGCGCTAAGCTGTGACCCAGCGTCATCAGCTACATCTCAGATAGCAAAGCTCCTCTGCGGCTGAGCTCGGAAAGGCCTGGTGCAGCAGAGGCGCACCCACCATGAACAACTCACGAATTGCCCTCCAGACAACTGAGCACTTCGACCGTGTCTGCTAACCCAGCTGGAGCCTTCGAGCCCATCCCTCCTGGCGGTCGCCAAAGAGGGGAACCAAGAAACAATGAGAGGAAGGAAGGGACGACAGAACGACGGGACCCTGCAGAGCTGCAAGCAGGGAAGGAAACTAGTTCCCCTCCTCCTCCTCCTCCTCCTCCTCCTCCTCCTCCTCCTCCTCCTCCTATTCCTCCTCTTACTCCTCCTCCTATTCCTCCTCCTCCTCCTTCTCCTCCCGCTCACCCTCCTCCTCCTCCTCCTCCTCCTCGTCCTCTTCTTCTTATTCTTCGTTTTCTTCTTCCTCCTCCTCCTCCTCCTCCTCCTCGTCCAAGTCCCCCTAGTCCCCCATCTGCGACTGCATCTGCTGCAGCAGGAGCCGCTGGACAGGCTGGATGCGCGCACTCTCTCCTGGACGGTCCAGCGCGCCGACTCCGCAGCCCAGGAGACAACTCGCCCCTCTTCATGGTGGCCACGACCCGGTCCCAGGCCTCCAGGCCAGGCCCAACCCCGCGCCGCGCCGCAGAGCGGAGGCATCGCGCTCTCTGTCACATCCTGCCCCACCCTCGCCCCTGCCGCCAGCATCTCCCTCTATATGTTTCTTTGCTGCTGTTGTTATCTCTCTGTCTCTCTCTCTCTCTCTCTTTCTCTCTCCCTCTCTCTTCTCCACCCCCTTTTCCTCCTCCTCCTCCTCCTCCTGATCCTTCTCCTCCTGCTCCTCCTCCTCCTCCTCATCTTGCTCCTCCTCCTCCTCCTTCTCCTCCTCCTCCTCCTCCTCCCACTCACCCTCCTCCTCCTCCTCCTCATCATGCTGCTGCGCCTCCTCTTTCTCCTCCTCCTCCTTCTGCTGCTGCTCCTCCTCCTCCTCCTCCTCCTCCTCCATATCATCATCATCATCATCATCATCATCATCATCATCATCATCATCATCATCATCATCATCATCATCATCATCATCAGCAGCAGCAGCAGCAGCAGCATCATCATCATCATCATCACCACCACCACCACCATCATCATCATCATCATCATCATCATCATCATCATTTGCATCATCATCATCACCATCAGCACCATCATGATTATCATCAGCAGCAGCAACATCATCATCATCATCATCGTCATCGTCATCGTCATCATCATCACCGTCATCACCACATCATCATCATCACAACCATCATCATCATCAGCAGCAGCAGCATCAGCATCAGCATCATCATCATCAGCAGCATCATCATCATTACAGTCGGACTTGATTGGACTGGACACGCGAGAGGACACAAGAACCTTCCGAGGTCCACATTGCCATAGGAATGTAGGAGGCATTGGTCGAGAGACACAGGACACAGGGGTACCCTTGATTTCGCAGGATCGACCTACTAATCAGTGCCGACTGTATCATCATCAGGATCAGCATCATCACCATCATCACCATCAGCATCATCATCAACATCCCCATCATCAGCAGCAGCAGCATCATCAGCAGCATAATGAATACCATCAGCAGCATCATCATTAGCAGCAGCATCAGCAACAGCATCATCATCACCATCACCATCATCATCATCATGATCAGCATCAGCATCATCAGCAGCATGATGAATCTCATCAGCAGCATCATCGTCAGCAGCAGCATCAGCATCATCATCGTCATTCTCAGCATCATCATCATTATCGTGGTCGTCAGCAGCATCATCATATTCATCATTAGCATCATCATCATCATAATCATCGTCAGCATCATCATATTCATCGGCATCATCATCATCATCATCATCATCAGCGGCAGCATCATCAGCAGCCTCATCATCATCGGCAGCATCATTATCATATTCATCAGCATCCTCATCACCATCAGCAGCAGCATCATCAGCAGCACCATCATCATCATCATCATCATCATCATCAGCATCAGCACCATCATCATCATCAGCACCATCATCGTGATCATCATCAGCATAAGCATCGCCAGCATCCTCATCACCTTCAGCAGTATCATCGTCATCAGCATGAACAACAGCATCATCATCAGCAGCATCATCATCAGCAGCAGCACCATCAACAGCAGCAGCATCATCGGCATCGTCCTTAGCAGAATCATCATGTTCCGCAGTGGCAGAAGCATCATCATCAAAATCCGCATCATCAGCATCAGCATCATCAGCATCATAATCAGCATCAGCATCATCATCAACAGCAGCAGCATCGACAGCATCATCAGCATCAGCATCATCCGCAGTATCATCAGCATCCTCATAAGCATCGGCAGCAGCAACAACAGCATCATCCTCATCATCATCATCAGCAGCAGCATGATCATCAATAGCATTACCATCACAATCAGCATCATCAGCAGCATCAGCATCGGCATCAACATCATCAGCATCATCATCAACATCATCGATTCCATCATATCATCGACGTCATCATCATCACCAGCATAATCATTTCAGTATCATGATCATCAGCAGCAGCATCAGTATCATCATCAGCATCAGCACCATCATGATCATAATCATCATCACCATCGCTGGCATCAGCATCATCATAGTCATCAGCAGCATAATCAGAATCACAATCATCGGCGTCGTCATCACCATCATCAGCATCATTAGCATCCTCACTATCGTCATCAGCATCATCATCAGCAGCATCAGCATCAGCATCTTCATAACTCCTATCATTTGCATTCTCATTACCATCATCAGTGGCGGCGTTCTGATCATCGTCCTTGTCCTTTTTCTTGTCCTTCTCCTACTCCCTCGCCGGCGCAGAATCTCCCCTCCCCCACCAGAGCTTGAGCGTGGAGTCAGACGAGTGCCCAGATCTCAGGCAGTGCGAATGTCTCCAGCCGGCGCTTTTTGCTCGATCTCGGCCTGGGGGCGTTTTCTAAGCCCTGAAACCATCAGGAAAACTACCCCCTGGAGAAACGGTCTAGCTCCTGGGGCCGCGGATAAACTTGCCGTCGCTCGGACGTCTATTTCCCGTGCATTTTTCGGTGTCGTGCGTGTTTTTGTTTTGCTCGATGGTCCTGGATGGTCCTCGATGGTTCTCGTCGAGAAAAATGCACACGTCCGAGCGATGCCAGGAGGAAACACCAGCGGACGTCAAACACCGGCCTCTCCTGTTCGACGACCGCTGCGTCATGCAACGAGGACGGTGGTGCTGCTGCTGATTGGCATCAGGACGGCGATCCGGCGATCGGGCAAGAGGACGACGAGGGAGGGGAGGAGGCGTGGGAGGCGCAGGAGGCGTGGGCAGGAGGCAAGAAGCGTAGGAGGAGCAGGAGGCGTAGTAAGCGTGGGAGGCGCTGGAGGCGCAGGAGTGAGCGCCAGACCGTGAGTTCGCGGCAAAGTTGCAAGGCCGCGCTTGCCTCTGTCCAGCCGCGGGACGTCGGCCTGCCTCCAGAAACCACAGGCTTGAGTGTGCAGCTGTCCACGCTGCCAGAGCAGCGCAGGCAGGAGGAGAGCGAGAGGAGGAGAACGGCGAGGCACCATGCAGGATGACTAGCGATGAAGGGGCCCTTTAGCCTCCTGGGAGCGGACCCAAGCGAAGAGGCCCAAAACAGCATGGACATGTGTTTCTTTTGTTCAGCAGATGTGGTCACACCGAATCACCCAGAGTTATCACCCCCTGATGTAACAACGAGGACCTCAGTTCGGCTACGCCTTCATCGTGTTATGTCGCATGGCCTGTTGTTTTGAACGCGCCCATCTGGACGACGCCGACACCATGGCAAACCCACTGCAAACCCTGCGCCCCGCGCCCCAAGTAGACGAAGATGGCACCGCGGCAGACCCCATGGCAAACTCCGCGCCCGAGGCGGTGTGTTGCCCTGGTGCCCGCGGCGCCCTCCCCAGGACGTAGGGCCGCGCGTCGGAACAAACAGCACACGATTTACTCTTGATGACCAGTGGCGGAGGAGAAAAGGAGGAGGAGGAGGACGACGACGAGGAAGAGGAGGAGGAGGAGGAGGAGGACGCGGAGGAGGAGGAGGACGAGGAGGAGGAGGACGAGGGGGACGAGGAGGTAGAAGGAGGAAGTAGGAGGTAGGAGGTAGGAGTAGGAGGAGGAGGAGGAGGAGGAGGAGGAGGAGGAGTGGAGGAGGAGGAGGAGGAGGAGGCGGAGGCGGAGGAGGAGGAGGCGGAGGAGGCGGAGGGCAACGCCGGGGCCACGGCGACGGTGGGAGAGCTGGGCAGGGCCACGGCGAGCTGGGAGAGATGGGGCCACCGCAGCCGGCCTCCATCACGGCCCCCACGCCCAGCTTGAACGCGTAGGGCTTCCCGTCGGCGCTCTGGTGGGAGGAGGCGAACCTTCCCACCCAACGCCCACGTCGCGCCTGGCATCCTTCGGCGCCGAGCGAGGGGGCGGGGAACCGAGCAGTAGGACGCCCTCTCTCTCTGACGGCCGCGGGCCTTCTCGGAAGCCTTGGCGCCTCCTCGGGAGCCGTCTGCCTCCAGGGAAGGCTCTGAGAACTTTTCGGGAGGCTGGAGGACCTCCGAGCCTTCTGAGAAAACCCGCCCCTTCTCACTTCCCCCCCGGCTCGCCGTCGACACACACACACACACCCGTCCTCCTCCTCCTCCTCCTCGTCCTCCTCCTCCTCCTCCTCCTCCTCCTCCGTCTCCGTCTCCGTCTCCGTCTCCGTCTCCCTCTCAGACACACACACACACATTCCCAGCCGATCACCACCATGCGTAGATCCACTGGAGCGTCAGACCACGGTTTGCACCACCATGCCATTCAAGAGAGAGCAGCGTGGGTTTTGTGCCCTAGTGCCCAAGCCCACGAAATACGGATTCTCCGTCCTTGCTGCCAAGGATGACGGTCTCCGGATGGAAGAGAAGGAGCTAGCGATGCGAGAGACCGTTATCGCCTGAAGCAATGGCAAGCGAGCATGGCGACAGCATGATGTGCTGTGGTATGATGCTATCCAACTGCAACCACAACTCCTGACAGTGCTACCGATGACATCTGGAGCCTCACGCCCCGTTACCGGTGTTGCCAACATGCACAGAGGCGCAGCATGCCTGCCCGTAGGCTGCCCCAGCCCACGTGGCTCCATCGGGGGCTCGTGAACCCGTGTAGTGGATTCTTACTTCGTCCCCTGCCGCCCATTCCCGCGATACGACATTTGTACATGCACTATACCGTCTCAACGAGTTGCGAGCACTGCACTTGAAAAACAACCGAATCTGGTCACAATGTTGCGCGCCACGGGCCGAAATTACAAGCAGGCCGTGTTGGCCAACTCCTGAAGCATACAGGCTCTCACCTGCGCCTGCGACACACGCCCGAAGTATAATACACACACAAGTGTGTGCAATCACGCCCGAGCTCTACTCAATATATCAGGCCATGCACGTGCATGCACATGTAGTTGGGCACCCAAACTAAAATTCGATCAACACCCTATTCGTGCGCCAGCGTGCGTGCACACAAGACCACCATGCATGTATGTACGCGTTCGGCTATCAGTGCGCACATGTGCACATGTGCGTCGGTAGAGGGAAACAAGTAGTAAACACCCCCCCTGCCCCCCAAACTCAAAGTTTGGCACGCGCGGGGGAAACTGCGGTCAAGGTGCAACTCATCAGACCCACCGCCAACTTTGATCATTGGGGGGAAGGAGGCGTTGACAGATGAATGTGGCATGAGTGTTCGCTATTTTTTCTGAGGCCTGGAGCAGCCACACCGGCTTCTGGCGCGGCCAGATCAGAAAGTCGTGGAAGAGTTTTCCGCAGGTGGTGGCCGATTTTGAGACAGGCGGGAGCTTCATCATTGCTTGTGCGACTTGTGGAGCTTATGCGGTCTCGAACCCACGTCATTTGTCCAGCTTTTGTCCGAGGCGCTTTTCGGACGCCCAGAAGCGTGGATCCAAGTATGCATGCAACGAGATTTGTCAAGGAAGGCACCCCAAGAAGCCCAGGGTGCAGCTTCGCCCCTTTATCCCCCTGGCCCAGCTCCTGGCAGATTTAGCACAGGAGCAGCAGGAGCAGGAGGGGGAGGAGGGTAGGTAGGGCTGGAGCGGGGAGCGTGCGCGGGAGCGAGAGTGACCCCCCCCGCGCGCGGCCCGATCTCGCCAACCAGATCTCCCAGGCGCGCCCCGCGCCTCCGCGCCGCCGCGCGATTGCAGCCAAGACGGCAGAACCCCCTTTCAGGATGCGTGCTGGTCCTCCTCCTCCTCCTCCTCCTCCACCCTCCTCCTCCTCCTCCTCTTCTCCTCCTCCTCCTCCTCCTCCTCCTCCTCCTCCTCCTCCTCCCTCCTCCTCCTCCTCCTCCTCCCTCCTCCTCCTCCCCCCCTCCTCCCCCTCCTCCCCGTCCTCCTCCTCCTCCCCCCCTTCCCCGTCCTCCTCTTCCTCCTCCTCCTCCTCCTGCTCCTCCTCCTGATTCCTGATTCCTGATTCCTGTTGGCGTTGTCTTATGGAGCTCCCTTTGAGAGGTATGCCGAACTAGGCGGCGCGCCACCACGCGGACCCTCCGAGTTCGGTTTTGCGAGGTGGAGCTCTCCCTACGGTAGGGGGGAGCAATGAGTGGACACTCCCCCGCTCCCCAAAACTCAAAGTTGGCACGCGCGGGAGAGACTGCCGTCGAAGTGCAACTCATCAGACCCACCGCCAACTTTGATCATTGGGGGGAGGGGGAGGCGTTGACAGATGAATGTGGCATGCGTGTTCGCTATTTTTTCCGAGGCCTGGTGCGAGCACTTGTGCGTACACAGGCGCGCACGTTCGCGTACACATGTGAGGCTCTAAACGAAGTTCCCTGTCCGTGCTGTCTGCCCACAAGTAATCGCGATTGCAGCATCCACGGGCGATAAGGTCATCCGCGCAGAGCAGAGGAAGGATCGAATCACGGACAAATGTGTGGACATTGTCAGCCCCCACCCCACACAAGTTATTAGGAAATCATGTGCCTAGGATGGTCACACCGCGTGTCGATGACGAATCGATTTCGATCGCATCAGAACTCGGCGGATCGAACACTCAGGTGGGCGTCCTGCTGGGGCGTCTCCAAGATGTGCACTCTTTTGGCCATGGCTATCACATGCCATCCATGGCGCCTGAGGAATTGCACCACATAGGTTGCATCGCATTGGTCGCATCATATTCGGTATGACACATCGGTTGCACCATACACAAATCGCACCACCCATATTTCACATAAAGTAATAAGCCACCAGTTTGGGTCCACGCTGGCAAATCTTGCAACATCGTTGAGGAGATGCTACGACCGTCTATTTTGAATGTCCAGATGGACGGGTAGTTAGCTGGTACGTTGCGATGGGTCCATCGACCTTTCCATATCTCTTTCTATCTCTATGTGTATGCGTGTACGGAAGACAATGATGAGCAAGACGGTCACGCAAGCCACCCTGTATGCAAGTTTAGAACAGGAGCTAGTTTTGCCTCGCTCCCAGGACCGATCTTAAAGTCGTTTCGAATGCAATGGTCCTACCATGCTGCTTTGTGGCTTGACGTGTATTCCCCAACTTCGTGGTCACCTGATTGCCAAGGAGAAGTCTGTAACCCCATAGCTGCGGACAAGACTGAGCGGGAGACGGGATGGAGGGGACCAAGGGCAGAAACCTGTGATCATTCCCCAAACTGTGCTTGCGTATAATGCCTCTCACTTGCTTGCTGAGGACCTGGCTACGTTCGCCGCAGTCGCCCACTTGCGCTGGTTTCCTTGCCATGTTTGCCGAAGTCGGCCGCTCGCGCGAAATGGTGCCCTACAGATTTTGGGCGCCCGAATTGTCCCGGACAACTCCAGTCCGGGCCCCAGACGCACAAACCAGGAGTTACCCCTGACCGTCCCTAGCCCCGACGATTCGGGATTGGTTGGTCGACGAATTATCCGAGATAACTCCGGTACGGGGCAACTCTGGATTGGGCCCCAGAGGCACGAATCAGAAGCTACCCCTGACCACTCCCAGCCCTGCTGATTCGGGGCTCTGAAGGTTGGTGTCTGAAGTTGGTGCTACGTTCTTAAAATTTTCAAAAGGAAAATAAACGTCTGTCCTATAGTGCCCCGTTGGCCGCAATCGGCCCCTCGCCCTGTGGTGGCCAATCAGTTGGTGCCCTGTTGTGTCCTGTTGGCCGCATGTGGCCGTTCACGCGCCGGTGCCCCACGCGTTGGTGCCCGGTGGATTGCGCCGTACGGGTGCCCTCAGCGACGCGCTTGTGCCGTGTGGCTGGTGCCCATACACGTCGGTCGGAAGAAGTAGTGAAAAACATGACACCGGGGAAAAACCCAATCATAATCTTTTTAGGGCTATAGGGCTATGGGGCTACAGGGCTATAGGGCTCTAGGGCTATAAAGCTCTTGGGCTACAGGCCTATAGGGCTATAGGACGATAGGGCTACAGGGCTACAGGGCTATAGGGTTATGGGGCTGTGGGGCTTTAGGGCTATAGGGCTATAGGGCTCTAAGGCTCTAAGGCTCTAAAACTATAAGGCCATAGGGCTATAGGGCTAAAGGGCTAGAGGGCTATAGGACTATAGAGCTATAGGGCTATAGGGCAAAAGGGTTGTAGGGCTATAAGGCTATAGGGCTATAGGGCAATAGGGCACCCGGGCGTGCCGCCGAAATCGGCGGCCCACCTCACCTAACCATATGAACCCGCTAGGACCCCTACAGAGGCAAGCTCTGATTAGGGAAAGAAGCAGGAAGGCGGACAAAGTAGATTGGGTTAAGGCCCTCCCAGAGAATGGCAGAACACAGCAAAAGCATATCGATACTTGAGGTAAGAAAGCGCTTGGAGTAGATCGGGACCAAGGAATCCAAAATAACCTACTTTCAACGACCAGCGTGTACGGCTTCCTGTTCGCAGCAGTCGGCCGGTGGCTCGCTGGTGCACTACGCGTTGGTGCTCCATGGCTGGTATGTCCCCCTGTTTGTCCCAGCCGGCCGCTGGCGCACCAGTCACAGAGCACCAACCATAGGGCGCCAGCGCCATACGGCACCAACTGGAGGGCACCAACCATGGCACCCGCACTCAACAAACGACGGCCGCACGCAGGGTGTCTTACGTGTGACTTCAAGGAACAGCTCCGTGTTGGCGCCGTCGGCTGTTGAGGAGCTGGTGCGCCATGGGCGGTGCCGTCCAGTTGGTGCCCTCTGGTTGGTGTCCTCGGCATCGAGGGATGAAAAAAAACGCCCCTACCCTGGGTTACAAGTGCGTGGCCCGCAAACCTCCTGGGAGCTCCCAAATGCCAGAGAGCCGCCAGGAAGCCGCGCGGCACGAGCGATACGCAGGGTTTACCCTGTCAGCCCTCAGGAGGTTCAGCGCACAGCGCCTCGTAAACCAGGGCAGGGGCGTTGTTTACGCCCTTGACTGCGTGGTGCCACACGAAAGCCTGAGGTCGGAGGTCGGGGATTGAGATCCGAGTGAAGCGGAGACCCCCCCGCCACCAGGAAACCGGTTTCGGCTTCGTGCTCGAGTCGCGTGCGAGGGCGAGGCGAAGCCTGCGTGCGCGGGCGAGACCTAGGGAGCCCGCCGCTGCCAGGGAGAAGCCAGGCTTTGGCCCAGGAGTGTCCCGATGGTGTCCAGGTGCTCCAGACGGTGTCCCGATGGTGCCTCGATGATGTCCCGATGGTGCTCCGACGGTGTCCCGATGGTGTCTCGCTGGTGTTCCGATGGTGCCCCGGTTGTGTCCACGTGGTGTCCCGATGGTGTCCACACGGTGTCCCGATGGCGTCCATTGTGTCTCCATGGAATTCAGATGGTATCCCGATTGTGTCCCGGTGGTGCCCCGATGGTGTCCCGATGCTGCTCACATGATTTCCCGATGGTGTCCCGATGGTGGGGTTGGTGCCCCTTTGTGCCCTATGGGTGGTGCCCCTTTGTCGGTACCCTGTGGTGCCCTATGGTTGATGACTTGTGGTTGGTGCCCTGTGGTGTCCTGTGCAGCGCCCTGCCAATATGTTTTCCCAGCGTCCCCCTCTTTATCTTGCCCTCCCCGGGTGCCGTCCCAGCGTGCCCTCCTGGCAGGCCCTCCCTGCGTGCCCCCCAGCGCGGCCACCTCCCATTCCAGCCACGCGTGCGCAGGGATGCTGCGACTCCGTCCCAGCACTCAGTCTGATAGACGATGCAGAAGATGCACGCCCGTTCCAGCGCCCACGCACTCTGACAGCTGATGCCGTCTCGCACTGGAAGCCAAACACGCCAGAGCTGCCGTTTCGTGAGCCCGTCGAGCCCGTCGACTCTGGCCACGCGGGTCCACTTTGACATCCCAAAATCACCAGCCCTCCACAGATGCCCAAGACAAGGGCCACAAGCCAGTGGGGAAAAAAAAATACCGTGCCAGGCAACACTTCAAGGGCAACCCGCACGAGAACGCCACTCAGCGTCGTCGGCGTCGGAGGGGCGAAGGCGGAGATCGCCAGGGTCTCCGGCCCCGGCTCTGGCGCCGAGGTCGGCGCGCTCCCCCCGGAACGCCGACTCGGTATCCCGAAGGCTGGGGAGATCTCGGGAGCTGGAGCATCTACACTACCGGTGGCGGGCGGTTTCTCAATCCCAGGACTTCTTCGAGGGTCGGGGAGGGCGCCAAGGGTGGTGTGGTGTAGCATTTGTTTCCCCGCTTCCCCGTGGAAGCAACGAGAACTGTATACACCAGGATCCCGTATACACCTGGATCCGCTTTCCTGTGCCGGTTCCAGTGCGGGGCCAGAAAAAGCGCTGGTGTACATAGAGTTCGGTTCCTTAAGATCGGCGGGTATTTCCACTGGCGCCAAGTATGTACGTTACCACGCTTACAGCGGTAGGAATGCCTCAAACCAGCCCAGCAGGTGCTTCGACACCGAAAAAACAGCAGCGTGCAGGAGCGCGGTGGTGATATACGCGGTAGCTCTGAAAGCTAGCACGGACCTCCTGCATACGGCCCCCAGCAATGCCTGGTTCGTCGAATGCAGAAGGAGGCGAACCGCACTCTTCGTGAGCGCGTGACACTGGCTTTGCGCTTCGCTGGGCCAGGGCAGCCGCAATGTGGATCCGTGCAACTACAGAATGCTGTCCGATCGCCCACCATGGCATTGTGCTTACATGTACTTGCAAACACTACCGTGGACAAACATCATTCACTGTCACGCTGAGGTGGCGTGGATTGAATATGGTCCCGCTGTCACGGAAAATTGGGCCATGCATCGGTACAACACGCAATGCCCGCCTTGTTTGGGCGTCTTGCCCGAATAAGGAGCCTTTCGCACAACCTCCTTGTGGATGTCCTTATCCCACATCCTCCATGAAGCAACCCGCATCTCTATCTGCATGCTTCACGATTCCAATGCACCTTCGGCCCTGCAGTATTCCTCAGCTAGCCACACGATCCTGTACTTTTCAGTGTCCTGGTACTGTCGAGCTTTGCAAAGATGCCCAGCGAGGGTCCTACACCTTACGCGCTGCGAGTTTAATACGATGGGGCTTCACTTTTTACGTCGCAGCGCGGCAGGGGCAATCCGCACGCGCGCTCTGGTGAGCCAGGCACTGGCAGACACGAATTGTCCACGCGGCAAGAGTGGGGACCTAGGTGGAGCGCGGCCGCGGATGGCGGAAGGGAAAGGAAGGCACTACTGCGGAGCGGGCCCCCTTGCCTGCGCGACCTGTTCCAGCTGTTATGACGCGTGGGTCTCATGCTGCCGTGCCGCGAGCTGGTGCGTCCTTGGCCGCTGCAACAACTGGGGGAAGGAACGCTCGATATCAGACGTAAGGGGGGAGGAAAAAGGAGGAAAGACGAGACCCAGAAGGCGCCAGGCATCAACACTCGGCGGGTCCGCAATCTTGCTACAACGCCCATGCTTCGCTGTGTCACCCGAGCAACATAATCGAGCACGGTTGAGGACGCGTTTCGGCTCACCTGCTTGGCATGAAGGGAATGGGTCCTGAAGAAGACAGGTCCTGGACCCTGGGACCGTCCCCAAGGCCGGTTTTGCATGCCGAGCCGTAATCTGACAGTCC